ATAGTCTAACTTTTCACAGACTTGGTCTGCTGAGACAAATTTTGGTTTCTCTGAAGTCACTAATCACTGGTCTCATGTTGCTGTTAGTAGAACCAAAGAAAACAGATTCCTCGTCATTATTTTAAAGCATCTATGGAATAAAAGCAAACTTGGAGGTTATGCTTTGCATAATGAGCCTACCAAAGACTGAACCAAGACTACAATCTTGCAGATGTGTCAAGTGGATTTTTGTAGTGATGTAACACTTACTCAGGATTTGTGTTTGGAATTGTATTATAAAAGTGACAATTAATAAAGATGTGTTTGTTTTTTTGTAGGATAAGACATTTGGCTTAAAGAACAAAAAAGGGGCCAAGCAGCAGAAGTACATCAAGAATGTTACTCAGCAAGTCAAATATGGACAACAAAGTGCCAGACAGGTTGGCGAACTGTTCTTGCCTTCTGTATCTCTTTCTGCCTTCATCCTTGTGTATCTTCTTAATCCTTAAGCCAAACATTCTTCTCTTACTTTTGCTCCCTGTACTTGCTGTCTTCCTTAAAGCTTTTGTAAGTAAGATAATCTTTAAATGTGGCTGAATTTGTCGTGTTTAGATTGCCCAGGCTGAGGCAGAAAAGACCACCAAGAAGAATGATAAGAAGAAAGAGCTGGATGAACTCAATGAGCTTTTTAAACCTGTAGTTGCTGCTCAGAAAGTCAGCAAAGGTAACACACAGCGTGTGACACACACAGGAGATGAATCATTTGATGTGTTAAATTTGATAAGAAAACATGATTGATCTTTTTTTCTCTCTTTATTTCCTGCAGGTGTTGATCCAAAGTCAGTGCTGTGTGCGTTCTTTAAGCAGGGTCAGTGTACTAAAGGAGACAAGTGCAAGTTCAGCCATGATCTATCCATGGAGAGGAAATGTGAAAAGAGAAGCGTCTATGTGGACGAAAGAGATGAAGACCTGGAGAAAGGTTGGTAGACATCACAGTTAACTTGTACATATTGAAAGGGTGTTTATTGCTGCGTGATGTCAACATCTGCATCATGAAATCTGTTTGTTATCATTTTATATTATTCAGATAAATTAAGAAGACAACCATCTGCTAAAAATGTAAACAGTTTAGTTATGATTACATGGGTCTTAAGCCAACTTTATGGCAGCTTTGTTTATTTTTCCTGAATAAAATAGTCAATATTTTCCCCTGTAATGCAAATAAATCTCATTCTGAGTTTATTTCAACTACTGATGGACTTAAAATTCAGTGATGAACACTTCATTAAATTAACCAGGCCTTTGCCTTATCTCCTTTATTGACTTTACCTGGACGGGTGGTCCATCATGCCTACCATGTTTGTTTGTTTTTCCTTTGAAAATTAACTGAAAGTTCTGCTACGTCTTACTATCTCAGAGCCCCATCCTCGTACAAAAAAGGCCAATGTGAGCTTTTTTATGAGCTACAGGAGAGGATGTTGGGCATTTTAGTGATTTGAATTCATACCCAATGCTGAAAGACTGATGTGCTGCTTTCAGACACTATGGAGAACTGGGATGAGAAGAAACTAGAGGAAGTCGTCAACAAAAAACACGGAGAAGCTGAGAAGAAGAAAGCCAAAACACAAATCGTAAGTCTGTTGTTATGAAAAACAATTAGCGAATGAAGACAAGGAGCTAGATATTTGCTGGTCGTCTGTGTTTTCATCAGGTGGTTTAATGAGAGTGTGGGAAACAGACTTGTTTGTGTGGTAAGGTGAAATGCAGGGAGTTCAGGATGTTTGATGGATAAAGAAGAAGCAGAGAAAACCAAATCTAGGGG